AAACCTATAGTTGAACTGACAGTTAAACTGGTGGTTAAGTTAATGGTTGAACCTATGACTGAATTAATGGTCAAACCGACGGTTGAACTGATAGCTGAACTGACAGCTGAACTGATGGTTGAACTAATGGTTAAACTTATGGTTAAACCGATGGTTAAACTGATGGTTAAACCGATGGTTAAACTGATGGTTAAACCGATGGTTAAACTGATGGTTAAACCGACGGTTAAACTGCAGTTGAGGAACCACGGTTGAGGGTTCAACCGATGACTTTTGAACCGAACCGAACCGAGTCGAACCGATAACATCCCTACTTGAGATCCTTGGGACATTCATTGTTTAACTTCATATTGTTAACTATTTCATAATTATAATCGTTATTATAAATTCAATCTTTTTGTAAAAATTACACGAGGATAAAAACGTAAATAACAAAAGACATCAAAAATAATAAAATGCTATGCATATATGTTTATACATTGTATGTATATTGATTTTATTTTGCTTTAATACCCTTAAAAAAATAGTTTTTATGAAATATTCATATGATTATTAATTTACAACGACATTCATGTGATAATTTTAGGAACTCATGAGAAAATTTTTTACTGCGTCACCATGAAAGGAATTTGTATTCTAGATCGATGCGGTAAAAAAGTTGGTTTTGTTTACTTAAATGGATTAAAATTATTCTTGCATTGTGATATAAATAATTAATGTCATAAGGTCAAAAAAATACGGCAAGTTTACTAATTTTATACAACGCATATGATCTGGGATAATCAAGCTTACTTTATCAGGAAACCATCAAAATATATGTTGAGCCACGAACAAGCCACAAGTTTTGTTTCCAAATTGAGAAACATAACCATTTTTCTGTTTTTCTCGATCCAAAAATCAATAAAATATAGTTAGCGAGAGACGGAAAATTGAAAACAACATTTGGTTAAATTTTTTTCAAATTTGAAAACATTCACAATTTGTAAACATAAACTAAGATATAAAAAGTTTTATTAAAATAAAAATAATTACACGCACTACGTACTGAAACTCCGGTAGATCAGGTTTTTTTTTTCAAATAAAAATCGCACATTTTCTACCCACCCTTTTTTTTTATTAAATAATTTTATTTCACCTTTATTTACGATTTTCTTCAGAGTAGAATTTATCTTTTTTTTATTTTCTTGGGTGTCCGTTTGAAAATTCTTTTCACATTTCACATTATTTTTTTTTAATATGGGTAAGTCGAAACCCCAAAGAAGCAAAGCAACTGTCGCTTGCGACTTTTGTCGACTCAAAAAAATTAGATGTGTGGAAAAGCCTATATGTAAACGCTGTCAACATGAAAAAATCGAATGTCGGTTCCAGAAACCGACTAAACGCGGACCCCCAAAACAAAATAAAAATGAAAAAAAGTTTTTTCTGCACGATTACCTTTACTGGGTAATAAAATGACAAAAGAAATTTCAAATACTCCTGGAGCCGAAACCATCAACATCAACATCTCCAACACCTCCAACTCCAATTCCTTACCTACCTCCCCTAAATTATATTTAGGATTTAATTCGAACACTAACAATCCTTTTTTAACACGGCCGCCACCATCGGAATACTTCACTGACAACAGCATTTAATTTTTTTTATTTTTTTTTTGTTAGTATTATTTTTTTTTTTGAAAATTTGTTTTTTTTTCTACTTTACTAAATATTATTTACTATAATTTTAGTATTTTTTACATCACTTAAATACAAGCAAGACACCGATGTTATTCGGTGCGGTGAAAATGAAACAATTATTCTATAATGGGATAAGAAAATCAACTTTAACCTATTTATATAGGAGCTATCTAGGAAATGTCTAAGGAAATGTCTAAGGAAATGTCTAAGGAAATGTCTAGGGAAATGTTTAGGGAAATGTCTAGGGAAATGTCTAGGGAAATGTCTAGGGAAATGTCTAGGGAAATGTCCTAGGGAAATGTCCTAGGGAAATGTCTAGGGAAATGTCTAGGGAAATGTCTAGGGAACTATATAAATATAGGAATTATATATTTTTAAACTTTGTAATATTATAATATTTGTTATAGGATTCATATTATTATTATTATAGGATCATTTACTTTTTCATATTATTATTATAGGAATTATTAGAATTATTACTAAATGTTGTTATATTTTTATATGGATAATTTTCTTTATTATCTAAAGTTATTTAATATGGTATTCAATGACAAAAAAAAATGCTTTTAATAAATCAGTAAATAATTCTTTAAGTTTTTTACGTGTAATATTTATTGGAATTTTTTGAAAGTATAATTGTATTATTCTTCGGTCTTTTCATCAAAGAAACAATTAAAGTATCATTCTCCTTTTTAGAATTTTTCTCCCGAATAGTTCACTATCAGCGTTGTCAAACTTTGGTTTCACTATTATTGTTGTTTCTTTTTCTGTATTGTCATCCGCAATTAACTGTTCTATGTATTCAATTTGTAGAAACTGAATTTTTTTTTCATTAATCATGATGTTTTTTTTATTGATAGTTCGCTAAAAGCATCCTCAAATCTTGGTGTTTCTGTTTTTGTTGTTTCTTGTTCTATACTTTGTTCTGAATCATTTCCAACCTTAATCATGTTCACTATTCTATTTAAGATCTCACTTTGTTCTAAACTAGCGGAACTAGAAGAACTAGGGTCTGAATAGCTCTTTAATGGTAGCAGGGCCTCTTGTAGATTTAAAGCTGGAGTTTTCGAAACTTTAACTACTGGTTTCCCTTGACTATCAAATTCGGCTTTTTCCACATAAAAGCTTTCTAATTTTTCACGACTAATTTGATTTAATGGAACATTTTTACGAGATAAAATATTTGCCACCATTCCGCTAATTCCAACCGCAAATCCAGAAGGCATGTCTTTATTTAATACACGACCTTGAACAACAATATTCGTTCCGGGGTTATTATGGGAATAAGTTAATCCATGAATGGTGGATGGTTTTCTTTCGTAGGTAATATTTAGAGCATTTATAAAATCTTGCAAAGTTTTCGTATCGTTATTTATAGAATTTCTATATTCCCATTTTTTTGGTTCTACCTTTTCTCTCAAAAATTTTTTAAATTCTTTATCAGTCATTTTACCAATGTTAAATAACTTTGGTTTATTATCCATAGGTTTCGAAACTTTTGAAAATGGATAATTTTCTTTCCAACGTTTAGTGAACTTTACAAAAGTCTCCGCACTTTTATAAGGAGTTTGATGTTCAATGGTGTCAAGCGCTTCAACAATAATATTGTTGGTACGTAAGAAATTCGGTAGATTACGTTTCATACCCCATTCTCCACGACTTCTATATCGCATATGGGTCGTATAAACCTGTGGTATAGAAGGATCAAAAGATGCTAAACGGGATTTACGTAAAAGTTCATAAAAACTCATTTTACATTCATCAATTTTTTGAGATACGGAAAAAGTCTAAGGATAATCTATCAATTTATAGTAACTGGCTTTGCATTAAAAAAAAACATGTTTCAGAGCAGGTTTAATGTGTTACAAATATAATAAAATAATATAGATAATTTAGATATTTAGATTGTGTAACAATTGTATTAATTAATAATTCAAGGAGGATTTGGAATAACGAAAACCCTTCCTTGATCATCTTCGACTATTGTATTTTCATATTCATCATAAACCGAAACCGTTTTATCTTGTAAAGCAATTGATACTTCAGAAGAGATCGGAATTTTTTTCTTGTCATAGGATAACATAGTCTGTGATGTTGTTTGCTCTTCAGTATCAATTATAATCCTGTTTTCTACCTCTTTATTATCTTGATTATCTTGATTATTTGTTACTTTAATTTGATCATCAGTTGATGATAATGAAGGCCCAGATAAATTTTCATCTGACCTTTCTACAGTTTCACCCTTGCCAGTGGTTGAATCATTTTTACGTTTAATCGAATTTGAAGTCAATGTAATAGATAAATTAAGCGAAGTTGTCCTCGAAAACTCATTTACACGCTTCCCGATTTTGATCTGAAAAGTAGATTTATATTATAAACTTTATATACTTGAAATGTTAAAAATAAAATATTATTATTATTATTATTATTATTTTTTTACCAAAGGTATAGATATCCCGTGAATTGCGATTGAAGAAAGAACCATGAAGAACACAACTTGAAGAATAAAAATAATTTTAATAAGGATGAAACTTGAAAATAATAAGAGATTTAGATATAGATATACACCTGGCTTAACAAGTTTTTTCGCATTTCCATAAGAAGTTTCACTTTCTTCCTCCAAGGCTCGCTTTGCAATTTCAGCATAAAATACAGCACCAACACCTATCGGACCAAACCATCCAGCAAAAAGCCCTATAAATTAAAAAAATTTTTTTTTTGATATTTTTTATCTAAAAATCAAAATTATTGAATTTCCAAGTAACTGAAATGGACTGAAACCTTCGCGATAAGTTTTTAAAGCGGGTATCTTATGCAATAAAGCCATTACGATTGGAAGACGTCGAAACAAAAGTATGAAAAGAGCGACTAGAATTAATCTCCAATATGACAACCCCAGAGCGTCATTATTAAAAGATGAAAAAGGCATAATCATTCCAATATAAATAAACACTGCCAAGTTTAATATCATATCAAGGATTTGCTGAATATGAGAACCTAAAGTCTCCTGACGAAACCAATCGCTGAAAAAAAAAATATTATTTGTCAGCAAAATAAATATAATAAAAAAAATAATAAAAATAATAAAATAATAAAATAAAAAAATAATAAAATAAAAAAATAAAATAAAATAATAAATCTTACTCCCAAGTAAAAGAATTTCCAGCAATGAAACATGCCAATAATTCATCACTTCCAATAATTGCCACAGAACCCATAATAAACAACTAAAATCAAGTTTTACAATCAGATAATCATTAATAAATAGATAATGAGTATATATTAATAAATAATAAGAATATATTAATAGATAACAAATATATATTAATAAAATATATTACTCACAGCTAACATAACAGCAAAAGTCAAAAATATTTCTTTATCAATCAAATTCCTAATAAAAAAGAAAATATAAATACAGAATTTAAAGAATCTAAATCTATTTAAAATAAATTTCACAAACTTATCAACAGCCCAACGTAATGACTTGCGCGCGATATATCCAATAAGGAATCCCAATATAACAGATAGAATCACCTGATATCCCATAATATAATAAACCCACTTCCCGACAGCGGGACCTGGAGACATCTGTATAAGATACATTGCAATATATAGAAAAGGAAATCCCAGACCTTACCATTGATAATCTAAATTTAAGAATTTAATGTCAAATGAAGAAAGAAAGAAATATATCTTAAAACACTACCGTCATTCGCTCCACTATAAAAATTAATAAATAATTTAATATTAAGCCTAAATATGTGACAAATAAAAATTAAAATAATTTACCTTTCAGCAGATATAATGTTACGAAGGTGTAAAGGTACATATTTTTCCGCGAATCTACCCTTAACGACTGAGTTCGCCAAAACCTTTTAAAAGAAATCAATCGGAATCGTAAGTTATTAAATCATGAATTACTCAATCTCGTCTCGAACAACAGATTTTCAAATATTAAAACTTTGAAAAAAAAAAAAATACTAGATACTCAACTGGATCAGTGGGTGCAATACAAGAAGCAATGCACTGAAATTATGAATTAAAAAAAAAACAAGTCTCGTGAATTTGTAAATTTTAAAGATAAAAAAAAAATATCAAATAAAAAATATCTAATAAATTTTCACCATTGCTTCCAACTATATGAAACAAAAATTGACGGATAATTTAATATTTGTTGAGTAAAGGATATAAAAATTATTTGAAAAAAAAATATATATATTTTTTTCTTACAAATGAAAGTCTAGGAATTATCCACCAAATTGCAAGAGCACTTATAATCCACATCCATATCATGACAGGAATAAGTAAAAAAATCAATGATTTTAATTCTTTCCACAAGAAAGCTCTGAAAGTAAAATAATTGTTAACCCCGTCCTTAAAAAATTTTGATAAGGTAATTTTTTTGAATTTACTTTGGTAATGCTACTCCAGCAGCCATGACCTATTGAAAAGGTAAAACATAAAATATATAATTCTTAAGTCGAAATATAAAAATATATAAAAATTGAATATAAAATACGAATGTTGAACTTACCTGGATCGCAATAACGATTCTAGTAAATTGTCTTGTGATTTCGTCAACATCTCCCCATACTTCAGGAGAGATAACATTTAACGCAAACGGTCCAAGAAGAATTCCACACGATAAACATACAACTATAATAATATAAAGTTTTCTTAACATCGCATCGAAGGTCAATACAATAGGTTTAAGCATGTACTTACGGGATTCAGATAAATAAATTCTTTCTTTTATGAAATAGGAAATAAGTCCAAAGGTTACAGAAAAACCACCTAATAAAGCGGCTACGATTGAAACTTCATCTAAATGAAATAATTTCATTATTGAATTTCTTTTTTTTTTTTCATTTTCATTTTCATTTTCCGACCAACTTATATACAAATATAACAACTAGCTAAATTTGTAATTCAATTTGAAATAAGGAATATTTGTATCTTGTGTAATCGAAAAATCGAAATAGCAATTTTCCATTTTCAATACATATTTGATTGATTTATTCTTTGCACATTTGACATTCTTTTTTTTTTTTTTTTTTTTTGCTTTTTTTAAACATGTTATTTGTTGCGATATAATTTTTTATTCTTTTTTTATAAAACTTAATTTAACGATTAGACAGATAAACTTATAATAGAAAACTTGCATAAAATCATAAAAATTTTTTTTAATTTATCTTCTTTGCATACCACCTACAAGTAACAAAAAATGTTTTATATTTATCAAATTCTTCGATACTCTTTTGCATCATATCATCATATTCTTCTGAAGTTATTCCCATAAATGGAAACAAGGCAGGTTTTATCCCTATCATTCTTGTAATTATGTCGTCAACTCCCTTTTATTAAATCAATCGAAAAAAAAAAATCAATAATAAAATAACGAAAAATTAGAAATTATTAAACATTTTATTTACCACTTCACCAATTTTTCCTGCCCACGATTTTCCTATAGGGATTATTTTTTCTTCATGATGAATCTGTTTGTGAAATTAATAAATTTTAATATTTCTTTTTGAATTCTAAAGAAAAAAAAATAAATGAAAATAAATTCAATTCATACCTCTTCAAATTGATTCGTATTTTGCATCATTTTTCCAAGAAGTTGCGAAATATCTGGATTTATTCCCATGCCAATCCACATTTCTCGTCCTACAATATTCTATAAAGTTAAAGGTTTTTCAAGTAAACAAACCATGAAAATTTTAAAAACTTACGAGAACTTAATATTTTTTCGAATGTTGGACCACAATTTTGACATAATTCATATTCGCAAAGTTCAAGCCAACCCCCAACTGCTAACACACGAACAACTTCTTGGATTACTTTAACTTCCCATTGTTCCTGTGTGAATGCTGGCATCATAAATCTCATGTGAACGAAATCAAATGTTCCGTCACTTTTCAAAAAATGAATATTTAATTCTTTAAATATATTTGTTTATATTTAAAAAAAAATTTTTTTTTAAAAATTAAATTACCTGAAATCCATGCCATCAAGAATATTTGCTACTTGAAATGTCAAATTACATGGTTTTATATTTGTAGGAAATATTGGCGAAATATCCACTCCTACAAATTTCGACTTGGGATAGTCAGAAGCCATTTCTAAAGCCCATGCACCTGAATAAAAAAATATTTACATATTAATAAGTTTCAATGATTTTTTTTTTTTTTAAAAGTGAAAATAATTATAGTTACCTGGTCCACATCTTTTTTATTAAATAGAAATAACGAATTATAATTTAATAAAGTTAAAATTAATAAAATTAATAAAAATTAATAAAATTAATAAAATTAATAAAATTAATAAAATTAATAAAATTAATAAAATTAATAAAATTAATAAAATTAATAAAAAATCTTTACCCTGCGTCAAGACTTTTACATCCACTCTCTAATTTAGGAATTATTGGAGACGAAAAATTTGATTTCCAAACAGTCCTTATTAGAAAATGTTCTAAATGCAAACGATCAGCTTTGAAATTATTAAATATTTAGTTAGTATTTTTGAAATGTTTGTATTTGTAATTTTATTAAGTCTAATCACCTTCGTCGTCATCATTCGGTAAGTCATAAATAAGATTTGTGAAATTATGAAATCTTCGTCCATATCTAAACCGAAATTGATCATTAACATCAAAAGAAATTGTCGAGACTTCATCAAAAGGGGTTGTATTTGTATTTGAGTCATCTCCATAATTCTTTACTATACTCTTTTTCCTTCCCATCTTCGTCTGTGCTATGCCCATTGTTTTTTTTTGATATAATTGATGTAATTAAAAGAAATTCGAGGGTTTTTTTTAATAATGAATGACAAAATTTAAAGAAAAAAATTTAATTGATAAACATGTTAAATTCTAGAAATCGAATTTCAATTATTAAATTTAATTGAAAAAAGTAATGCATTGTGAATTATTACACCACATGTGTCACTTGAGTTTATAGGAATTTTTACATAATCTTATCTTTGACACATATTACCTAATTCCTTAGATAAACCTCTTTAGAGAATTATAGTTAAATACCCGAATTTATCCGAACTCGACAATAAACAAATAAAATTAATAAGCTATTGTTAAAAAGAGTTCTTGATAAAGAATCAAAAGATAACAAGATCTCGGTATCTGGTTCGATTTAATTGTTTCGATTCATCATGTAATAAAATGCAATAAGATTTATTTTGACTTATCTCAAATATTGTGTAAATTAGATATGAAAATTTAACAAAGGAAATCAAATTAAAGTTTCCATTGTTAATGAAAATTTCGTTATCAAATTATGCACTAAAAGGGAATTCCGTGGATTTCCGATTCCTGATAATAAAATTTAATTTTTATAACTAGAAATATTAAAAGAATTAAAGTTTCCTCTGATTGAATTTTGTTTCAAAATTCCATTATTATTTTTTTTTTTTATTAAATATCAAATAAAAAAATCTGATAATACATATATATAATAAAAATGGCTCTAGCTATTAAGGGGTACGATAAAATTTACGAATAACAGAAAATGAATAAAATAAATTGGGATTGTTTTTATTATCTAATGTTGCTGTTCTTTAGATTGTTCTCTTTGGGCTTTGCCACTTTTTTCCAGTTGTGGATTATTTAAGATCTTTCCAGTATTCTCCTTCACGGTACCAGTAACATTATCCGCCGTATTCTTAACTTGGCGGTTTGATTCTTCTTTTTGCTGATTATCCCTTTCTTGTGCAGCATTATACACATCTTGTGCTAATATTTATAAATATTAAGTAAATAAAAAAGTACGTGTATGCAATAAAGATAAATAAAATTTGATCTATGGTACCTTGTAATTTTTGAGAGAGACCTTCCGTTTGCATTTGTTCATTGCCTAAAATCTTTCCGATTTGTTCTTTGGCCGCACCTGAATCACCGATTAATAACCAAATAATTTAATTCAATTCTAGATATAGTACTTATTCATTTATTCGACTAAAATGATAAAAATAATACCTTGATAATAATTGGCACTGGAACTCATTTTTGATGGGGTTTCATTGGTATTGGTATTGGATGACATGTTTACTTTATTAAAAGATTAAAGTTTTTTTTAAGATTGTTGATTTTTTAATTGTAGATATATAGATTTTATCTTTTTTATTTTTGAATTTTGTTCTGAAAAAACTGAGCAAAAAAAACGACGTTTTATAATTTTTCGAAAACCGAACTGATGTCATTTTGACGCTAATATTTTTAATATTAAGTATTAAATATTTATTTGATTATTATTAACAAGCCTTTTTTGTATAGTTCGCGGAAATTAATGCTGTCATTTTTTAATTGTATTTATGACGAAATTATTATGACGAAATTATTATGACGAAATTATTATGACGAAGATAAAATGACGAAGTTAACTTGGCGAAGTTAACATGACGAAGTTAACATGACGAACATGAATGATGAAGTTAACATGACGAAGTTAACATGACGAAAATGAATGATGAAGTTAACATGATGTAATGATTGGCTTTTAATGACGTTAAAAAGGATAATCACTTTTATACGATATATAAATGATTTTCTAAGAACAGACGAAGAGAAGAATTGAACCTTACTGTAATAGGTAAATATTGAGTTAACTTTTATAAGTAAACAAGTTATTTTTTAAGTGGCGTTTTTTATGTGTAATAAATTTATGCTTAAAATGTACAATTCATTCGCTTTTTGGAAATTTATTGTTTCGCCAAGATATATGGCTAAAAAAAATAATATAAATAACGAGAACAACCTCTGTTTCTTATGTGTACACAAAAAAAAAACTTAAGAATAAATAATTATGATGTCAAGTTACGAGGAAACTTCCCAAATGAAAGTTCATAGCGATAATGAAGTTCAAACAACAAGTGATTGGAAATACGGGATTATTTAATTGTTTTGAAGATTGCGGTTTATGTACGACATATACTGTATAAATATCAAAAGTCTATTTTGTCTGTGAATTTTAACCTTTATTTTTTTTTCCATTAAGACTTAAACACATGTCGTTGTCAATGTGTAACATATGCAAGTATTCATCATATTTATTATTATAATTATTTTTCCAACAATTATTAAAATTTATTATAATTACATACAATTAAAGTAGGCTTAGAATAAAGAAAAATTAGAACCTGGTTCTACATTTATTGATAATTGCACGTTTTGGTATCTTTCCAGTCTATCCGTAGGACCTTGGATTGGATTTATTACGCGTCGTGAAATTAGAAACCGAAAAAACATTAAGGCAAGTTATCTATATATGCAAATAAATATAAATATTTAATGTTAAATTTACGAGTTTTTAATAATTACCAGGGAGACACAATCGGAGACTGTTTTACTCATTGTTTTTGTTTCCATTGTGCACTTGTTCAAGAAGCAAGAGAATTATCATGATCATTTATTAATAGCAGAAATTTATGGATCGATAGAAATTTAATTGACAGATTTTTTTTCCCCTCATAGAATTGAAAACTTTCTTTTTATTTAAATATAATACTTTCTAATTAAAGTTTTATAATTTTCACCTAGAAGTAAGTCATAATTATAATATATGAAATCTACGTTTTTCCATTAGATAAGGTTACTATTAAAAGAACTTTGAGATTGAGTCTTTTTAATTCAAATATTTAATATAACTTTTATAAAACTTAAATAGAATCTAAACTTTGTCAATTTACAAAAATTGTATTGCTGTTTTTTACTTAAAGTATCAGTTAAAAGTTTAAAATATACATTAGATCATATATTAATACATTCTTTAAAAAAAAAAATCAATTGAAAAATATATAATTTTTCTTATTTTTAGATTAATAAAATCCATCTGATTTTAAAAAATTTTCTTTTTTTGAAATTTATTTTCGTCCCGCCCTTAAGCATATTATTCTGAATATGTTTATTCTCAAATTGTTATGTAAAAAAAGATTTTTCAATTAGTTTACAATATTGATAAAATGTATTTCGTATGTCTCTTTATAAAAAAAAAATCTTTTATGGTGTAAAGAAAAAATAATAAATATGGGAATTTTCATATACTATATAGTTATTATTATTATTATTATTTTATCATGTTGGCAATAAAAAATTTGAAATCTTTTTCAAAAAAAAACACATCTGAATCATTATTCAATCATCAAGATCATCTTTAAGAGTAAATTTATAAAAAAAATATACTTGTCACCGTTGGGCAAAATTAACGAAAGTTAAGGTTAGGGTTAGGATCAGGGAATTTTGTAATTTTGCCCACTGGTGACAAATAGATTTACCCTATATTTTATTATACAGAAAAGTTTTTGGAAATTTTCACGTGATGTAAATAATTTACTGCGACTCGTCACAAACTTTTTTTCATGAACAATGCCTAAAAAATCAAAGGTAATGACAAAAAAACGCCAACGAGAAGTTATTTTATGTTTCGGAACGAAGGAATAAAGAATGCAAATGAAATTTGACATCACACAAACATTGGTCTCTCTACAATATATTACAATCTAAAAAAAAATAGAAGAAACGGGTGATATCACTCGAACACCAGTTGCAGGTCGGCCACAAAAAATTACCGGTAATATCGTAAATGTTATTGGGCAACAAATCTGACGAAATCCTCAAATAACAAGAAAAGGTTTGGGTTAAAGGTCTCAAAAGATACTGTTGAAAGGTATCTTCATTATCGTGATTATAAAAATTCTCTTCCAATTGCTACACCTATGCTTACAGCAGAACATAAACGAAAACGAGTTGAATGGGGGTAAAAAACATCTTGATAATGATTGGTCACGTACTTTATTTTCTGAAGAAACTTCATTTCAGTTATTCCGCATTTCAGTTATTCCGAAACACAATTACACAACGATACAAAGGTAGTAGGCCAATCGCCCTTTCTCTAAAAATCAACAAAAAATTCCTGTCTGGGGTGAATTTTCGAGTTACGTTAAAAAAAAGTGTTTATTGCTTTACAAGTATAATGAATTCCGATTTTTTTGTTCAAATTCTTCAAGAACAACTTCCTGAAGTAAAAGAAACAATGAGTGATGATTGGAAACTTCAAATGGATAATGATCCAAAACATAAAAGTCATTTAACAAAAGAATTTTCTTCAAGAAAATGTACCCGATGTAATGGGTTGGCCATTCGACAGTCTAAATATCAATCTAATTGAGAACTTGTGGGTTGATGAAACGGAATGTATAGAAAAGGAAACCACGAAATTTAGAAGATTTGGAAGAGTTTATGATTGAAGAATGGGGAATTAATTTGGTAAATTCGATGAGGAAGAAATGTAAAGAAGTTATTAGAGTAAATGGAAAAAGAATAAAATTTTAATTTCATATAATTTGAAACTTGTATTATTATAGTTTTAAATAAATAAATCACTTGCCAATACAATAATTAATCATCAAGTAATATCGTGTGATCCCTACTGTATTAATTGTCACAATATAATCATATATGAAATTTTAATATCTGTTAAGCTATTTTAAATTTTTCATAAAATAAAAGATACTTTCTTATATGCTGAAAAAATCAATTTTTTTTTAAAACTTTATATTTTATAATACTTTTGAGCCCAACAGAAGTTTTATCAAATAACTTAGTGCGAACTAACAATTAAGAATTTATAAAATCACGCAAATTCTTTTAACTTCTAACTGTAAACATTACTTTTCTGATAACTATAAATAAATTAATATAATTTTTTTAGCTGAAATTTCTTCTTTAAACATTTGGTAATAAAAAAAAATGTAAACAGAATAAATTTAATTTATTATCATCAATCATCGCATTGATACTAGAACGCAAGAATATTTTTTGATCAAAATGTATTTTTTTATTGTTTAAATTATCTTCCAAAAAAAAAAATTTTGATGAAAAACAATTTTAAATTTTAAAAACAAAGAGAAAATTTATTCTCTTTTTCTAAATTCTACTTTTTCTTGAAATTTTATAATTTAATATCTCTTTATTATTTTATTGATAAATTTTGTTATTGATAAAGAAATGATACAAATATTACGTATTGTTTAATAACATAATTGAATAATTTGAACGTAGTTTTTTCTATTCAAAACAATGAAAGTATTTGAGACTTTTTTTTATCATATTAACCTGGTATACCTGGTATGAGTGGTAATCCTACGTTTCCAGGTGGAAATGACATGACATGGGATTTGATCCGTCAAGTCTTTTGGGAAGAGGAGATAATTCCAAAAATAAGAGTAGTTTTGATATTACAAGCTTTCAGGTGATCCTTTTAGTAGGTATTCCAACAGGTCCAAAAACCAGCGTCTAAAAGTAATAATAATAATAATAATCCTCAACAAGGTGGATCCAAATCTCCAATGCCTACAACGCCATCAAATCCAAATCCAATTAGTAAATATCCTTCACCTGCAGGCGGTACACCAGAGGATATAGAGGAAATGGTGCTCCACCATCTTAATTCTGAGGTAAGTTAGTAATTGGAAGTAAAATAAAAATTTTATTCATTTGTATATTCACCATAAGTGCGTTAACTTGCGTGGCAAGAAAAAGAAAAAGAGTCAGGTAAAGAAAAGAAGTAATTAAAGTAAAATAAAGTGAGTTTAACAAATATATTATTGTCCCGGAGCGTACTTAATGGAGGAGTAAAGTGATACAAAAATTCCATTTTTGATATTTTTTAAATAAAAAAATCAAAAACGAGAACTTTGGAAAATGAAGTCTGTCCGATTTTAGATAACGATTGTTGTAGATAAAGAACACATGACAATAAAAATAACGTTTTTGATATTTTCATATTTAAAATATCAATTACACAATTATTGCTCAGGACTTTCTAGTTATTTATATAATTCTAATACAACCATCCAAACGTGGAATCAATCCCCTGTCAGGTTTTCTTGTATAATGATTTACAAGTGAACGTATTCGCCCAATGGTAAGGTAAAGTTATTTATTATTTTAATTATTATATATTGAATATTTGTATTTAAGGACTGTATTTATAATGAGCCGCCTCATATTACGAACGGATTAAACTTTTTATATACGATTTCAAGATCAGGTATCTTTGGAGCCACACCACACTAATTAAAATGGCCATTAAAGGACCTCCTTTAGGTTGGAATGAAAAAATTAGAAACTCACGTTAAACCAGCAATTTCAAAAAGTAATTTCACATCCATCAGAAGTGATTAAAATTAATGTTATCAAGTTTATGTATTGGGTTAATTACTTTTAATACGGTACATTTGTCACGAATTTAAGAAAAAATTATTTATACTGTATGTATATTTTCAAAAGAATTTTTTTTTATTAAAAAAAAAAAATTAACTTTATTATGTAGAATTCAAAGTAATTTTTAAATTTACAGCATAAAGTACATGAGAAATTTCATAAAAGTGAGTCAATTTTTTTCTAATAATAAAATGATAACCACATAGCATCTCTAATGTAAATAATTATTTCAAAAGAAATTTTTATTTAAAACAATAATAAATAAATACTTATATTAAAAAATTCCTAAAATATTATTATTAATTTATATAATTATAAAATTGGTATAATTTGTATAATTTGTAAATAGTATAGATAATTTGTATAATTTGTAAATAGTATAGTTTAACCCCTGAGTTCACGAGCTTCTTGGACAAGTGCACAGCATGGGCAGCAGATGTGAGCCATACAATCTCCGCATCCAGACCCCTGGTTGATAGAAGAAAAATAAAAATCATAAGTTATTCATCTACAGTATATATGATATGAGTGATTAAAGTAATTAAATATTTACCTCTATATTATATCTTGCGCGAATGGCTCCACGAGTACTAGCAGCGGGAATCCACCATAAAAAACAACATTCCAAGGCACAATAAATGAAAGAATTACAGCAACAGCTATCACCAGGATTTAGTGCAGCTTTATTTTGACCCTAAATTTTTACGAAAAAAATAATTTTTTTTTTTTTGAATTCTTGTTTTATAATTTAAAATTTCGAAAGAAAAAAAAAAGGAAACTTACATAAGTGATGCAAGGGAAACAAGACGTCATTATTGCTAAAGGATATAAATTATTTCGCGATTAATAAATTTGCAAATTAGCACAAAATGTTTAAATATGATTAAAAAATTTACATGTTCCGCAGTCGCCAAGACAAGAACAAAAACCATATTTCCATGGTCTTGATACACCAGGATTCGGGGCGATCGTAATGTTCATTTGAGTAGTTGGTTGATATGACATTTTTTTTTTTGAATTAAGCGAATTATAATTATAGAGCGAATTATTAAACGTTTTTAAAATGACCGTTAAGTGACCTGGATGTTGAAATTAATGCATGTCTTTTATAGCAGTTTAAAAGTTATTTAGGAAAAGTTTTAAATTATGTAACACAGTGTGAAATTAATTAACAAAATTAACAAATAAAGGCATTTTTTTGCATATGTATACATTACATTAATAGTTACGTTCAACAAAAATAACAAAAATTAAATGTATCATCACCAATTTACAGATAAAAATGCATAAAGTCATTAATGATATTTTGTATCATAGGACAAAGAACACAACAGCGAATTACTTTATTAAAATTTGTCCTCTGCTATTGGAGTTTGAGAAAGTGCGAATGCATACATGAATGACAAGAATAAGATTCATTCAATGAATATCTTCTATCCAACGATTGTTACAACATTAATTAATTAATCAATTTACTAATTCATTATAAATATATTTTCTATCTATACCCACACTGAAATAAATTAGCTTTGATTGATACTTGACATTTAGGGATGGTAATTATAAATTTTTATATCATGTTACGTATAACATAATTACAATTACACCGTATATATTAACACATGTGATTTTCTATTTTATACTTATGACAATATAAGGTCTAGAATTTTTTGAAAAGTGCTGATCAATCAGTTTTGTGTTATAGCCCAAAAAGCATTAAAGCAAATGTTATTTTTTAAAAACAATGATTAGATTCCAAATATCCACATCTAGCTTCAATTAAACAATTAAAACGTATATATATAGCTTTGGTTGTTCATTATAAAGGGAAATTAATTATTTTAAAATTTTTCGAATGCACATTAAAATAATTATATAAAATTTAAAATTAATCAAAATTGATTTTTGTGTTAATAGTTTAACCCTTGAGTTCACGAGCTTCTTGGACAAGTGCACAACATGCGCAGCAGAAGTGAGCCATACAATCTCCGCATCCAGACCCCTGGTTGAAAGAAGAAAATAAAAAATCATAAGTTATTCATATACAGTATATATGATATGAGTGATTAAGGTAATTAAATATTTACCTCTATATTATATCTTGCGCGAATAGCTCCACGATTCTCAGCAGCGGGGATCCAACATAACAACATTCCGTCCAAGACACAATAAATTAAACCATTCCAGAAACAGCTGGCACTAGGTTCTAGTTGAGTTTTATTTTGACCCTAAATTTTTACAGAAAAATAGATTATATTTTTTTTTTTTGAATTATTGTCTTAAAATTTAAAATTTTTGAAAGAAAAAAAAAAAAAGGAAAGTTACATAAGTGATGCAAGGGAAATACCATGTAACAATTGCTAAAGGATGTAAATTATTTCGCGATTAATAAATTTGCAAATTAGCACAAAATGTTTAAATATGATTAAAAAATTTACATGTTCCGCAGTCGCCAAGGCAAGAACAAAAACCATGTTTCCATGGTCTTGGTGCACCAATAGCAATCGTACCAGCCGGAGTGTTCATTTGAGTCACTTGAGTCATTTGAGTAGTTGGTTGATATGCCATTTTCTTTTTTGAATTAAGTGAATTGTAATTATAAAGCGAATTATAATTTAAACGTTTTTAAAAAGAACGTTAAGTGACCTGGATGCTGAAATTAATGCGTGTCTTTTATAACATAAAATAAACAAAATAAGGCATTCTTTTACAAATGTATACATTACATTAATATGTTAAATAAAAAATAAACACCAAATAATTTTAGTAAGAAGTATCCTTATACAGCACAGTTGATAAGAAGTATCCTTTATATAACTATAATTATTCAATAATTGTATGCACTACAAGGAATCGTTATTATCTTTAAAAATATATTGTGTGCAATTCATTCAGAAAAATTTTAAGAGAATTGTTCACATGTTGTAAAGGAATTAATTATAATAAATTTATTTTTACAATTGAAATTTTGTTAATATCATAACACAAACTGAGAAATCAATTGCGAATTCATTCAGAAGTTTCTTATGTCCTTTTAATCTGTAAATAAAACAAAACAAACAATAACTTGGACTTTTTTATGTTGAATATAAAAAGAAGTATTTTTCATTTTTTGTTTTGTTAGGGAGAAAATTTTTAAAGAATTTAATTTCCCTTTATATAATGAACCCACCAAAGTTTAATTGTCTAGATGTAATCATTGTTTTTTAAAAATAATATTTGTTGTTCTGCAATAATGAAATCGTCATTTCAACATTATTTAAAATTAATATTCATGAGCTTTAGCATATAACTAAAAATCAAATTATTTTGTCTAAAAAATCTTTGAAGCTAATGTACATTCTGGTCTGGTTAATACTTTCTTTCGAATCGTAATCCTGATTCTTTAGAAATGCACTTTTACAAATTTGGCAATATTTTACTATTTAAAACAGATAATTCATTGATAGAAAAAATTCATTTAATTGATCTTATTCTTGCCATTCATGTATGCACCCACACTTTCTCAAACTCCGATAGCAGAGAACAAAATTTAATGAAGTAATTCGGCGTTGTGTTATAATACAAAAATATTATTAATGGCCTTAATATGACTTTAATGTATTTTTATCTCGTACATTGTTTCCGTGTGATTAATTTATGTATGTATGTAAATGAACAATATAGAGTTCTACATATTTATTTATTAAAAAAAAAAAAAAAGGAGAAAAGGATAAACAACCTGTACATCCTCAGATAAACCAAAGAAACAAAAGTCATTCTAATAATGAATAATGAATAATGAAGTGATCATAAAATTAACATTTTAAATTTCCTTATAAAAAAACATTTGAACAACACGAATTTTTTACAGTTAAAGTTTATTTAGCACAACTTGTATAATGAACTTATTTACTTATTTGGGATATCTAAGCCACAGTAAAATCCATATTAATTTTAAAATTTTGATCTCTCTTATCTACACACACAAAAAAAAAGCCAAATTTCACAAAAATCATTATGTCAAACAAACTTGTGGGCAAATCGATGTTACAAGAATTTCGGGAAAAACGAGAAAAAGAAAGAACTCGGATTGAAGAAAAATATGAAATATTGGGATTTATAAGTTCGGGAACCTATGGTCGAGTATATAAAGCCAAAGCAAGAAAAAAGGAAAATAAAAAGTTTGTATATAAATATTTAAAAAAATATTAAGTTGATAAAATAATAAAAAATTATAAAATTGTAAAATTATTAAAATGATAAAAATATTAAAATAATATAAATTTTATAGTAGCAGTTCTGATGAAGAAACAAAATCCCCTGTTTATGCTATAAAAAAATTTAAACCTGATAAAGAGGGTGATATCACTACATATACAGGAGTATCACAGTCCGCCTGCCGGGAAATATCGGTAATTTATTATTATTATTATTATTATTATTATTATTATTTATTTTTAAATAAAAAAAAATAATTTGTTTTTTTTTTGTTAATAAAAAGTTATGCATAGAACTTAAACATGAAAATATTGTTTCACTTCAAGAAGTACTTCTAGAAGATAATTCAATTCATATGGTATTTGAATTTGCAGAACATGATTTTCTGGTAAGAATAAGTTTCTTTTTTTATAAATTCATAACAAAACATTTGAAGAATGAGATTATATTATTATTATATATATATTATATATATTTATTAAAATTTATTAATATTTATAGCAAATTATTCATCATCACAGCCAAGTTGAAAGAAAACCCCTACCTGAATTCACTATAAAATCATTTTTATGGCAATTACTTAATGGAGTTTCTTATTTACATGCTAATTGGGTTTTACATAGAGATCTTAAACCTGCAAATATTTTGGTTACAGCTGATGGTGTAGTAAAAATTGGTATATATATATATATTTTTTTATATTAATCTTTTTGTAAAAAAAACTTTTCATTTATATGATCATTTATATTCTTTTTTTTTATTTATTTATTATATATTACAGCTGATCTGGGATTGGCTAGAATTTATCAACTTCCATTACAACCCTTATTCAATGGAGACAAAGTTGTGGTAACAATTTGGTATAGAGCACCAGAATTATTGCTTGGGTCAAGACATTATACAAAAGCAATAGGTATTTCAATCTTTATATAATTTTTTTTTAATTTTTTAAAAAAAATTTTTTTTGATTAATTTGATTTAAATAAATAGTTGATTTAATAATTTATTATTTTTATATTTTATAAAGATATTTGGGCAGTTGGATGTATATTTGCTGAATTGTTAACTTTGAGACCTATTTTCAAAGGAGAAGAGGCAAAAATGGATAGTAAAAAACAAGTTCCATTTCAAAGAAATCAATTAGTAAAGATTTTTGAAGTATTAGGAAAACCTACAAGTACTGTACATTCAATTTATTACAATCAAAACAATATTAAAGTTTATTATTAACAATTTATTATTATTATTATTATTATTATAATTTAGAGGAACAATGGCCTACCATTGATCAACAACCTGAATACTCAAACCTAAGTAGTTTTACTTTGAAGCAGTAAGAGTTAATATTTGTACCATTTTCATTCTTTTAGTGACCACTTTATTTATTATTTATTTTTTTACAAACAAAAATCAGATATTCAAATAGACTAAGAGAGTTTTATCAAAATACTTGTTCATCAAAGTCAGATTTGGGTTTTGAACTTTTGTCAAAGATGTTAGAATATGATCCAGTGAAGCGTATTACTGCTGAAGATGCTTTGAATCATCCTTATTTTGAGGAAGAACCAAAACCATCTATGGGGTATTTTTTTTTATTTTTTTTTTTTAAGAAATAGAAATTATTTTTATGGATAACATATAATTTAATTTATTTAATTATTATTATTTTTTTTTTTTTAAATTTACCATTATTGTCGCCATCATTATTATTATGTGTTTACAAAGTGCTTTTGAAGGACATCGTTCCCACTATCCTTTGCGTAGTGTCAAATATGAAGATAATGATATGAAGGTTCCACCAGCTGCACCTAATGCAAGCACAACTACGCAAGGTCAGGCAGGAACTTCACATGGAGGAGTTGTTGTGGGTGCAAGGGGAAAACATGGACATTCTGGGAAGGATGAAGGAGGAAGAAGTAGCAAGAGGCGAGGCTAAATAGATTGAATTTTAATATATATATATTTTTTTTTGTTTATTAGACATTAATTTTTCTTGTTTATTGTATTTTTATTATTTTTATTGTAATTTATTTGTATTTCATATAATTGGTGTTTGTGTGCGTTTCAAGTTATTATATATTTATTTTTTTTTTAATTTATTATTGTTGATATTATTAATATAATTAGGACGTGCAACAAAAAAAATCAAGCGCAAGTAAATCAAGAAAAATTACATTTATATAAAATATCGAGATATATCGACTGGAAGGATTTTTGATTTATTATAAATCAGTCTTAATAATTGTGTAAGATAAAAAAGTAAATTAATTAATTATTCAATTCTTTTTTTTTTTTTTGGTCAAAGTTAATAAACTTTTCTTGAAGATTTTGATATATTCAAAGTAAAATAAGGACATTATCATGAAAGTAAGTTTTATATCATTACAATTATTTAATAACCGTTTTTCATTAATTAAGTCTTTCAATATGATTTTTGTTATGTATAGATAAAGATATATTAGAGAATAACAGATGTAATGTAATAACATTGTATTCTACCAAATTTTAATTTTCAGTTAGTTATCTCTCATAATATCATCACTTTTTTCTTTCTTTTTGAAAGTGGTTAATTTATAAAAGACAATTTAAAATTCATTTTTTTGAAATTTTACTCTTTTTGCATTTAATATTATGAAACATTATAAAATATTGAACTTTTTATTTGATAATTTACATTTTTAAAATGAACTTGATATTTTAGTACAAATTGTTTTTACAAGAATAAAAATGAGATGAGATTACGTTTTACATTTTTGATGTTGTTTGATATTTTCATGTTCAATTAATTCCTTTAATTTATCAGCTTTTGGTAGATCGAGTTTAACACCGTATTTATGTCCATCTTTACTCAATAATTCGGAATAAAATTTCATTGCTTTAATATTCTTTTGATTTGATGCCTTGATAATAAAATCGAGAGCTTCCTCACGTATTTTTATTGATTGATTAAAAATGTTAGGTGTACGAATTATATATGTTCCATATTCATATTGTGCATCTGTGTGGCCTTGTTTAGCCGCTTCATAAAAATATTTCGCTGCGAAACGTCGAGCTTTACAGAGATCGAATTTAAATTTATCAGTTCTTAGGAGTTTTCCAGCCTTGAATTGTGCATCAGCAGAACCTAATTCTGCGTATTGCTTAAAGATTTTAAATGCTCGAGTATATTTAGCATCACGTTCGTATTCGTAAGCAAGATTTAAATCACCAATGATTTCATTATTCTTAAGTGATCTTTTTCTAAATTGGAAAGTTTCTAATAGGTTCTCCGAATCACCATGATCACTAAGGTCGAGGTGATCTTCACAAAATTTATCGGATGGATCTGTTTCTACCAAAAAATATTTATGTGACATGTAATCATGACCATCATACTCGCTGCTGCTGATACTTGAATTACAGCTAGATCGACTAGAACTTCTGGTATGTCTCGGTATTAAGGAAGGTAATTCTGAACGTGATGAGGAGTTGGAATACATGCTAATTTGACTACTAGAACTATTGGATTTTTTTTTGTAAGAAAAAGCGCCGGGAGACAAGAGTTTTAATTTATTTTCAATTTTTATAGAAGGTACTGGTGGGGTAGAAGTTGAACCAGATGAGAAAGTAGTATCAATTATAATATTTCCTGTATCGAATTCAGATGTGTCTCTTTCATGGTGTAATTTGTCTAATACTTCAAACATTTGTGTTATCGTTGGTCTATCTTGACGATTAGAAGCCCAACCTTTAATCATAATTTCTTTATATTCTGCGGAAACATTTGATATCAAATTAAGGTCGGGTCTTTTATCTTCGCAAATAGAACGTTTAAAGATATCATCTGATTCAATTTCTTCAAAAGGCATTTTGCCTCCAGTGGCAATTTCATAAAGTACCATTGCGAAACTAAAATAAAAATAAAAATTCATGTAAATAAAAATAAAGATTATTAAATTATTTATAATTATTTATCGATAGGTCATACCTGTAGACATCGCAATGACTTGTGTATTCTGTTTCGTTATCATTCAACAATTCAGGTGCAGCCCATCTACATATTTGTTAAAATTAATTAGAATTTATTTCATCTACTGTATTTTTTTTTTTAATATAAAATTAATTACCTGAAAGATTGTTCATCATCTCTTGATTTTATAATAGAAGAACTTCCATTTATTCTGATATTGGTGAGCTTTGCATTCAAGTCATTATCCAATAAAATATTATGGCTAAAAAAGATATAAAAAATATATATATTTGAGCCAAGAAACAAACACATATTTTTAAAAATATAATAAATAATAATAAGATATAATACCTTCTGACATCGTGATGAAGAATCCTTTCTTGGTGGCAATAATTTAAAGCATTGGCAATTCCATAAGCAATCTTGATTTTTTCGTTTCGACCAAGATCCGAATATTTTCGAAGATAAGTTTGTAAATCAAACTTATCAGCCCATTCAGTAATAACGAAATATCCGTGGTGATAAATACACCCATAACTACAAAATTATATCAACCACAGGTGAGTATTAAAAAAATGTATACATATAATATTTAATAATAAAACGATAAAATAATAAAAAGATAGAGAATATTTACACTCTGAGTATGTTATCGCAAATTTGTAATTTATTGAGAACATCTATTTCTTCTTTTAGTGCAAGAGTTTTTTCGCGAATGTTTTTAGAAGGTCGAATAACATTCTTTTCACAAATTGGTTGACTATGCATAGTTTTCTTTATTACATTTCTATGATGAATTAATTCTTCAGGTTGGCTTTTCTCACAGGTAAAGTGCTCTAACTTGAGTTCAATAATCTCGATATCAGGTTTACGTGTTTTTTGAATGTTACATAAAAGGAAGTTTCCAAATCCGTTATTTGAGTCGTCACAGAATGTTACATTTGTTTCAACTTTATTGTGTTCTTTCCACTTTGTGACTTCGGATCTTATTTCGTGCTGTACAATTGAATATTTTTTGACTAATTCTTCAAGTTCGGCATATTCAGCCTATAAAAAAATAATCAATAGGTAAATAAATATATAATCATATCAATTTTTTTAAAAAAAATAAAAAAAATTATATACTTACATCAGTAAGTACATCTTTACTGAACAATTTAAAGAAAGAAAATAAATTTTTAATAAAAATGATGATATCGGCCTCCTTGTTCTGCCTTTTGTGTTTAATTAATGTTAATTGCGCTTCACATAATTCTCTATCATATGAGGAAGATCTGAGAAGTTTTACGACTTTTTCGGTATGGTCAGCGACACAGAGTTTACTTTTTTTTTGGGCGTTTGATTGAAAATTTCCCATCTTTCAATAAACTATTTTTTCTATTGGGAATCGGTTTATTTGAAAAAAAAAAAATATAAATGTATGTGAACAATCCCAAGGACAAATATGAATAATATAAATGATTTCAAGAATACTCGATCAACGAGTCGAGTTAAAAGAGAAGAAAGAAAAAAAAAAAGGTTATAGAAAGATGGGAAATTGGATCTTGATCGACAAGTTATCCAAGGGAAATATGAAGATTAAAAGAACAAATTATTGTTATATATTTTTTTTGGCAACCAGTTGCTGAGGAAAAAGTAAAAGGTCATTTTGGCTTGCTTTTATAGAAATGAAATGAATTGAATGAATTGAGTTTTCGGATCAACAGTTCAAATATGAATCACAAAAATATTTTAACGGTAAACAAAGTTTTATCCCTGAAAAAAAAAACAAAGACATTTCTATTGTTTTTGTTGAAAGCCAGAAATAAATGAGATATTATCCTATTATTTATGGACAAAATACTATGATTTTTTGTTACCAGATTAATTTTACCGTAAATGAGGGTTTTGTGACGCATGAACCAAAAAAAAAAATAATAATAAATTTAAAAATTGTAAGTCGTTGTTTTCTTAATAAATATTTTTCGAATGATAATTTAATAATAATAAACTCGAATTATTGGTTAATATCAACAAGGATTTAAGAATTGTGACCCCGTGTTTTAGGAAATAATGTGAATTAATGCATTAGCTTTATTAGCATTGTATTCAGTGCATTCAGCTTAACCAAATCTGGTTTGAATGGACTGAGTTTAAAATAAATTCTATAGTAAAGAAGGGTTTTAAAATTTATGCGATGCTCTCAAAAATCTTAAAACAAATTACCATATTAATAATGAATCTAAAAGAACATCCTTATTTTAAAATAGCTTTTAGAGATGATACCTTTACATTTTTATGCCGCTTTTATTGAAAAGTGAACACCTGTTGTCAATTACCAATCACTGCAAATCATGAAAAATCCTCATTTATAAAAAATGATGTTCTGTTTGGCGGTGGTACAATTTTAGATTCATATATTTTACAAAGGAATTAGATGTCAGGCCGTGAACGTTGGAAGAATGGAAGGATGAGTGAAAGTAATGGCAATAGAGGAATGGAGAGGAATAAAAGGAATGATGGTAGTGAGTTTCGATGTAAGAAAATATTTAGTATATGTGGATTTTTAGGAATATGATTAGATCTTTGATCATATTCTTTAATATGGGATTATAATAGGAAACTTTATCGTTATTGCACGATTGTGTAACATTTCAACACATGGTTCACATATGAAATCAAAATCGAATACGTAAATGTTTTTGAAAAGCAATATTTCGCTTAATATTTATAAATAACGAATTTTAAAAGTTGTAAACCCCCAGACAAGGATAAAAAAAATGATATTAGTTTTTTTCGAACATGTACGTGATATATTCTTCGAAGAAAAGTGTTATTTGTATAAAGTATTTCGTTGACAATTTTTATTAAAAAATCTCTATATTTATCAGACACGAATGTGGTTACCACTTGTAGTATTTACAGCACTCAGTTACATTAGAGATTTTTGCTCAATTTACTCAATTGCTGGTGGGGCAGCTTTGACTTTAATTGGTAAGTTGCTTATGTTTTATTATTATTATTTTTTTTATCTTGTTTTGAAATTAATATTGTTTCATTTTATTATAAAAAAAAAACAAGCAAAGATCTTAAAACACATAATTCGGCAACCTCGTCCTATTAGCCCTATAAGTCCAAATAATCATGCTAACATTAAATCAAAAAATTCCACTATAAAAAAAAGAAAATCATATGGAATGCCATCTGCTCATTCATCAATCACAATTTATTTCGCAACATTTATATCTTTACAATTATTTTCTTCGTCATTACCATACTTTACAAAATTATTATCAAGTATAATAATTTCAATTACTGCATTATCAGTCGTATGGTCAAGAGTTAAGTTAGGTCATCATACTAAAAGTCAAGTGATAGCAGGAGTAATTTTAGGTTTTAGTTTTGGATTAATATGGGATATTTGGTGGTGGAAAGAATGGAATTCTAGATTAATAAAATTAAGATTAGATGGAAAATTGGGATGGGATGAAATTACCATTTTAATAAATTTTATAAATAATGGTTTAGTTATAAATTAAATGATTTTTTTTTTTTTTTTTTAAAGAAATTTGTTTTTGTATTTTAAGACTTAAATATATATTATAAACTAAATAATTAATTAATATTAATAAAATTAAATGAATTTTTTTTTTTTAAAAGTTAAAGTTAGACTTTGCCTCTGGTTTATTTATTATAAATTGAACATACGAACCAAGACTCACGTTCGTAATTGATAATTACGATCAATTATTAAATAAAAATGTGCTTAATTAACAAAAGACAGGTATCACTTCTCTTTCTTTAAATTAATAACTTTATTGATTAAATTTTTATATGTACGTTGACAATGAATACATATTTAATAAAAATAAATATTTCCTATCTAAGTTTATCGCATTCCCTCAAATTCCATGTGACGTGCATTTCCATCAAGAGATATGTGATCATTGCCACCTATACCTGCTCCACAATCAGGGCATCTAAAATATAAATTCAATCCAAACATCATTTAAAAAGTTCTAAAAGATAAAAATAATGAACATTTACAAGAAATAAATTAATTTACCTGCTTGTTTGCATTGCCATACCACATTCACCTATCGTATAAGGATGTCCATTAGGGCATTGATACCAATGACCTAAAATTATTGCAATTCACAAAATATTTACTTATTTGGATTTAATAACCAAATATTAAATAAGGTTAATATTATTACCTGAACCTCTGAATTCTACGCTCATTGCCTGGTGTATTTGTAATTTTTCTTCATCTGATAATTTTCCTGCGTTATTTACGAAATTTCGAATTTCATTAACTTCACGAATAACTGCTGTAATACGTTCCTCGCACTGTCCTCTGAAATGTTCAACGTTACTCATCGAAGACAATGTTTCATTTTTAATACTTAAACAACTTTTTTCGATTTCTGAACATTTCTTTTTTATTTCAATTTTCTGATTAGGGTTTATTTCATGTGGTGGAATATTTTTCAATTTGAATCTCTGAGTTTTACATTCAAATTCTGCCAATTCCAATGAAGATGTCACAAAATCACGAATATATTTAGATTCTAGTGCAATTTGTATTATATGTTCCATGTGATTATGTAAAGAATCTATCAAAAAATTGGCAAAATTCGTCCAATGATATTTATATGGCAAATTGATTATTTTCTCAACGATATGGGGTGGATCATTGTGACGGGTTCGTTCTGTCCTCTCAGTAGGTAACTCGGGAATAATTTTGGATACCTCATGAAACATTGCTTTTTGAATATTGATTAATTCAAGAAAGGCTTTTATATAGATTTTCCTGAATAATAAATTATATGAAATTGTATTAATATTACGAGTAAGAAATTTTCTTTGATAATAGAAGTAGCATACCTGTCAATTTTGGGTGTCGAAATTCCCACCTCCTTTAGAGTCTCTTGAAATTTACGTTGTTGTGCAGCAGGAGAGTCATCAACCATTTGTAATGAAATATCGTTAATAAAGTCACCGAAATCAATTCTCTCTTTAGATTTTGCTGCGAATCTAATAAAAGATAATAAAATAATTTTTTAATTTATTATCTGTTATAATAATAAGTTATGCAAATTACAATCAGAAATAAACAAAATAAAAGAACTTACAAACTTGTTACAGCAGATTCATAAGCGAGTTTATAGGGCGGATTGTTGGAATCGCGTATTATAAGAGCAACTGAACGATAATTGAAAAGAAGACGTGATACATGATTTCGCCACAACTCTTCATGATAAGCTGGTATCGAATAATACTTTGCAAGCATCTCATGTTTTTCTTGAGGAATAAGATCAGGAACTGTATGATTAATTGTTTCATCTGTTACCATATATATGTTTTTAATGTCATTATCGTTATCCTTTACTTGCTTTACATCAGGTTTTCGCAATTCTTTCAAAACCTTTTCTCGATTATCTTCCAAAACTTTAAGAATCTTATCTAAATCCGTATGAATAGTTTTCAATTGGTGATTATATTTTTGCAAAAACTTTTTATTTTGAGTGTCGAGAACACATTTTTTAATTATTCGTCCATAACGTTGAATATTTTTAATAGGAGATCGACAATTGGGACATCTTTTAAGTTCCCCTGGTTGTTCTGTGATAGGTTTTATACCAGTCCAATTTCCAAGGGCATCCATATGATAAACATTCTCCATCTTTGGGAATTGAAATTGAAATTTACAATTGTTAATTGTGAATTATGAATTATAATTCGTGTATAATACTTAATTACAAGTAAAATAAGGAAATAAACAAACCCCCATCAAATTATCTAAGGTTTCTGCAGTAAAGACATGACCACACTCGAGTACAATCATTCTTTCAGTAGTCCAATCAACATCTGCAAATGTTGTTTGCATAATCAAATCGACAACTAATTCAAACAAAATACAATAAATTAATATTAAATAATTTTAAACATTTTAAAATATATCTGTTCTTACTAGAATTTTTGATATCATCAGATGCACAAATTATACAATATTTTTGGGAAGGACATTTTTCACCACATATTCCCATACTAAATATATAATAACAATTAGTAAATTTTTATTAAATATGGATCACAATTAAATTCAATTCTTTTTTCATTATAAATTTGTAAATTACTGCTGCTTACCATTGATGACCACATTTCAATAACTTCGAACATTGTTCATTGCAAGGCAATCTGTTACAAGGAACACCACAAGATACCTCACAAGTATCTCTATGGTTACATGACCAATCACATTCTTCTGCACACACAGAACAAGGATGACTACATGGTTTTCTGCATTTTGAATGCTTACAGTTAACATTACAAGTATTTTTACAACCCGGACAATCTTTATCCTTATGACAAGATTTCTCGCACCTAAAATTTGAGGATTCATTGATAAATTAATTAATAACAAAAACATAAGACATAAATACTTTAATCAAAAAAATAATATAATGAAATACGAACGAGTGACCACAAAAGAGGTTCCTCTCACAAATTTGTTTGCATTTGTTATGATGCGATCTAACGATATGACCATTATTATCAAGTATTAGAGTATCATCATTGACGCGGATCGATTTTTTTTGACAGTCAGAACATAAGGATTTACATCTGCGAAATAAATAAAAATTTATTGGTTAAAAATGCAAAAATATATATATATATCAATTTGTTCTTACATGTGATCACATTCCGGATTAAGCTGGTCACAAATGCTTTGACACGGTACATCATCAACAGATTTGTGACACTTAGAAATTTAAAAAATTGAATAATTAATTATTTTGGTATTTAAAATATTTTGAATATTGACATCAAATTTACCTCAACAGTAACTGAATGTTCACAATTAGCTAAAAAAATAAAAAATGCAAAATATATTAATATAATTTATTATTTTATTATCAAAACAATTATTTTGTTTGAAGATTATGTAATATTTTGAGAATAATTAATATTTACGTAGCATTTTATCCACCATAGTACGACATTTAATTTTGTCTATAATACTCTTCTGGAAGCAAATTGCATCTATTAAAACATGTCCACAGGGCAATAGAAGATCGCCAATTGGGAAGAGACATTCTCCACAATTTTCGCCACACTTCCGTGTACCTATAATAATATTATATTTTGTAAATATTTTAATGTATTATAATTACTTTTATTACTTTTGTAATTATTTTTCGTTTTGATATAAAAATAAACAAAACATACATGGATGAAAACACTCCTTAAGTAATCGGTTGCATGGTTTAGTACATTTTATTGAAATATGACTAAAAAATAAAATGTATAAAATGAATATATTTTACTTGGTTCCGAACAATAAGCGAAAATAATAATCAAAATCATTTCAATACAAACTTTGGATCATCCGGATGACATTTATGTGGACCTGAAAAATAAATTTAGTTATGAATAATTAATATACACAATACGGATATATATATATATATATATATATTTACACAAATATAATTTGAAATACTTACAAATATGCCCACAATTTAAAGCTTTACCACATGGAAGTAAACATCCACCATCCGGAGATACTTCTTCAAATTTTCTCGGATAGGTTATTTCGTTTGTATTTTCGGGATGTTGATCACACATAATTGGAAATCCTGACCCAACTTGATTACGTAAGGCAAGGATGTCAATTACTTTTTTCCACATGTCAGATTCCTTTGACATAAGTTTAGAATTTCCAATAAGGTACATTCCATGTTTAGCTCGAGAAAGTAAAACATTTGTACGATTTTCGGTTTTTAGAAAACCAATCGATCCGCTAATTTTTTCTGGATCTATTACATTTCGAACAAGAGAAATAATAACAATCTCCGCTTCTTCGCCTGAATAAGATAAATAAATCAATTATTAAATTATTAAATAAAAATATTCAATTTCCCAAAGAAAAACTATCAAGGTGACGATTAAAATCATCTCACCTTGAAAATTATCAATTGTACGCAAGATCACCTTAAGAAGAGATTTGAATGTTAGTAAATAAAATTATAAGTAAATGATATAAATTAAACTATTACAACCTGTTGATTTAACTGTTTCCTTGATGCTACACTTATAGTATTGATCAAAGTGGCTTCACCGGCACCGCCGTCATCAAGATTTTCCTCAAAATCAGCGAGCTGTTCAGCATCACGCTCATCTATCATGACAACAAATGATTTATTCAATGCTTCTCTTATCTTTAGCATTTGCCCTAATAAACAATAATTAAATTAATATTTTTAATGCTTTATTTTATTTTTCATTATTTCATACAATATTTATAAGTTAGTGTACCTAAATACGGTGTAATAACAGCAATTTGTTCAGACTTTGTATATCCATTTCTAACGAAATACTAAAATTGTTAAAAATTATTAGATGGTTTTTAAATAATATTTTAATAATAATAATAATAATAATAATAATAATAATAATAATAATAATAATAATAATAATAATAATAATAATA